CGCCATCCCTGGGGGGCTGCGATCTGCGAAACTGTTGCCAATTTCGAGGCCTGCTGTGGTGGCCCAGCACAGTGAGGGCACGCGCGGATCAAATAGACCTCGCCATCCCTGGGGGGCTGCGATCTGTGAAACTGTCGCCATTTTCGAGGCCTGCTGGGGGGCCCAGCACAGTGAGGGCCACGGGCGGATCCAAATTAGACCTCGCCATCCCTGGGGGGCTGCGATCTGTGAAACTGTCGCCATTTTCGAGGCCTGCTGGGGGGCCCAGCACAGTGAGGGCGACGCGCAGATTCAAATTAGACCTCGCCATCCCTGGGGGGCTGCGATCTGTGAAACTGTCGCCATTTTCGAGGCCTGCTGGGGGGCCAGCACAGTGAGGGCCACGGGCAGATTCAAATGAGACCTCGCCATCCCTGGCGGGGCTGCGATCTGTGGAACCTGTCGCCACTTTCGAGGCCTGCTGTGATCCCCGTTTTCGAACGTGGCTAGGTGGCTCAGGAATTGAAAATCATCAGTTTTATCAAGCCTTTTTCCTGTAGCCAGTGTCCTGCGAGTCTCCCGAATTCCGTCTGCAGACATATGTAACCCTCGCTCCGTCATCGCCCCCTTATAAAGTATCCTAAACTATTTGCGCCCCGCTTTTGCGCAGGGGTTGGGTACGTCGCCATGGTAATTTCCCAACCCTCCTGCGTTGGGTACTCGTTTTGAATAGAGCACTGCGGTCTCCACCTTCCTTCCTTCCTTCCTTCCTTCCTTCCTTCCTTCCTTCCTTCCCGCCTCCCGCCTCCTCCCTCTGCGGTCTCTTCCCTGGTGGCTGCGATCTGTGAAACTGTCGTCACTTTCGAGGGCTGCCGGGGGGCCAGCGGAGTGACGCCCTACGGGGATCAGATTAGACCTCGCCATCCCTGGGGGGCTGCGATCTGTGAAACTGTCGCCATTTTCGAGGCTGCTGGGGGGCCCAGCGGAGTGACGCCCTACGGGGATTCAGATTAGACCTCGCCATCCCTGGGGGTCTGCGATCTGTGAAACTGTCGCCACTTTCGAGGCCTGCTGGGGGGCCCAGCGGAGTGGACGCCCACGGGGATTCGATTAGACCTCGCCATCCCTGGGGGGCTGCGATCTGTGAAACTGTCGCCACTTTCGAGGGCTGCTGGGGGGCCCAGCGGAGTGACGCCCTACGGGGATTCAGATTAACCTCGCCATCCCTGGGGGGCTGCGATCTGTGAAACTGTCGCCACTTTCGAAGGCTGCTGGGGGGCCCAGCGGAGTGACCTACGGAGACTCACCTCGCCATCCCTGGGGGGCTGCGATCTGTGAAACTGTCGCCAAACTGTGACGCCGGAGATTTCCTACGGGGAGGGGGTCCCAGCGGAGTAGACCTCGCCATCCCTCAGAGGGGCTAGACCTGTGAAACATCCCTGGGGCCACTTTCGAGGGCTGCTGGGGGTCCCAGCGGAGTGACGCCAATTCAGATTAGACTCGCCATCCCTGGGGGCTTGCGATCGTGAAATGTCGCCACTTTCGAAGGTGCGTGGGGGGCCCAGCGGAGTGACGCCCTACGGGGATCCAGACTAGACCTCGCCATCCCTGGGGGGATCCAGACTAGACCTCGCCAGCGCTGGGGGGCTACGATCTGTGAAACTGTCGCCACTTTCGAGGGCTGCTGTGGGGCCCATGAAACTGTCGCCACTTTCGAGACCTGCTGCGGGGTCTAGCATAGTGACGTCCTACGCGGACGCAGATTGGACCCGTCATTCTACTTCGATTATCCCGCATCTGCGATCGACTGTATGCGTGCGAGGAACTAGACATGGAGTGGTCTGGCACTGACTGACGTCAAATCGTTGCGTGCCAGTGTCTCCTGGGGTGTTGCCTGATGTGGATGCAGCTCGTCGGCGCTGCGATTCGAGCTTGCGGTCGTCCTTCGGGCCCGCAGAAACATCTGCTGAGCTCGATGAGCTAAGGGAACTACAGGAAAGAAGTGCAGGAAACGGAGGACGGCCATGCACTCGCCGATACCTCGTTGCTCTGTCATCGTCTTTGCTGTTGCATGATCCTTATCCGGCCTGCCGGCGCCGCGGCTCGAGCTGGCGGTCGCCCTTCGGGCCTGCGGAAACATATTCTGAGACAAGTGGGCGCCGCCGCCTTACTTGCAGGCAGCGCATTGCATTCGCGGACAGCAGCATGGCAGACCGCAGTGAGATCCTCAGTCGCGTGGCGTGGCCAAGCCTGGTGGAGACGCGCGTGATCGACCTGAAGTCCCAATCGCGCGTGCACTGTACCTGCGTGGCGTTCAGGCACGCGCGTGATGCTGCTCGCTCCGCGTTCAACCAGTACGTCGCCCGTGCAACTTTGGACGATGGACAACCGATTGATGATGCGCGACCCCGGCCTTGAGTTTCTTTCCCGCGGGCCGCCCGCAGACCTGGCGGCGCGCCTGCGAGCGTTCAGCTCCCGCGCTGAAATGTGCGGGAAGGAGGCGGAGAAGCTAGCGGGCGAGCTACGCCTCGCTCGTTCCTTGCACTCTAAACAAGTTTTATCATGTGGAACTCTGCGACGACATGGCGCAGGCAGCGCTGCGGGTTTAGCTCGCACTTGAAAAACGCGGCAGTCTTCTGTCTCCTCCCGCCACTTTCATCGTCGTCCTATTCCCCGCCTCACCTTCTCCATGCATGCTGCTGCTTCCGCGATGCCTTTCGCCCCCCCCGCCCTCCATTCCATCCCTCTCCTACCCCTCGTTCCCGTGCCCGTTCTTCTTCGATCCTGGGGCCTCAAGCCTCGTTCTTTCGATCGTCGTCCTGTGAATCGTGCAACGCATGCGCATCCCATGTAGCTTGCGCAGCAAATCGCCGCGTCTACACTGTCGTTGTTCCTGCTAATGTTGGCATACTCCTCTTGCCATTTGATGCACGTGGGTTGGGTACGTCGCAGGGTAATTTTGTATTATTCTTGGGGTATCTTTTATGTTTCGTCGAAAATCCCCCTGTAGGGGACAGGCCCGACTTAAGCCTAGACGGACGGCCCAAGAACAGGCCCAGCACGGGCCTCGCCCGAGAAGCACCTGCCGCCGCGTCTCCCCCCGGCGGCGCAGATCTGGGCCCTCCGCCTCGAGGCCGAGATCCCCTGGGCCTGCCCTGGGGGGGCGTGCTGGCCGATCGCCCGCGGAGCACCTGGCCGGGGCCACGAGGGCGCCCCAGCAGGCCCAGCAGACTCCCAAAGCCACGAAAGCCCTGGGCCTCTCGCCTGCAGTCGGACTCGATGGGGCAGGACACCCGAGGGGGCACCAGACCCCTCCGACGGCAGATAGGTCCCAGAACTCCGAAGAACACGCGGGCTGCACAGGTCGAAATAGGCAGGGCACAAGGGTACCCTGGAGGAGGAGGAGGAGGAGGAGGAGGAGGAGGAGGAGGAGGAGGAGGAGGAGGAGGAGGAGGAGGAGGAGGAGGAGAGGAGGAGGAGGAGGAGGAGGAGGAGAAGAAGGAGGAGAGGAGAAGGGGGAGGAGAGGAAGAGGAGGAGGAGGAGGAGGAGGAGGAGGAGGAGGAGGCGGAGGAGGAGGAGGAGAGGGAAGGAGGAGAGAGGGGGAGGCGGAAGGAGGAGGAGGAGGAGGGAGGCAGGAGGAGGAGGAGGGAGGCGGAGGAGGAGGAGGCTGAGGAGGAGAAGGATATGAAGGGTAGGAGAAGGAGGAGGAGGAGGGAGGAGGTGGAGGAGGAGGAGGACGAGGAGGAGGAGAGAGGAGGAGGAGGAGGAGGAGGAGGAGGATGGAGAGGAGGAGGAGAGGAGAGAGAAGGAGGAGAGGAGGGGAGGAGGAGGAGAAGGAGGAGGATGAGGAGGAGGAGGAGGCGGAGGAGGAGAGGAGGAAGAGTAGGCGGAGGAGGAGGAGGAGGAGGAGGAGAGAAGGAGGAGGAGGAGGAGAAGAAGGAGGAAGAGTAGGACGAGGAGGAGGAGGAGGAGGATGAGGAAGAGTAGGAGGAGGAGGAGGAGGAGGAGGAGGAGGAGGAGGAGGAGGACCCGCCAAACAGGGTTGCCTTTATCCCTCCTCCCCGAGGCGACGCCCGCTCCAAGACTGGCCGAGCCGGCTCCTGGCCCCGAGCCGCCGCTCCCTGACAGTGCCAGGTGCCCGCGGAGGCCCCCGGGGGAGGCCCCAAAAGGTTGGCGGAGCGCACAAGGGTATAATTGGACGCCCGAACTGGGCACGGAAACCATGGGCACAATGCCCAACAGCAAACGTTGTCCCGAACCAACAGCGGCCGCTGTTGGGCAGGAGGACACAGGCCGCGGCGGCGCGGACAGCGAGTCCTGTCCAAGATGAACAGGAACTGCTGTTGGGCATTGCACCCAGTCTTTCCGTACCCATTTCGGGCGTCCAGAGCACAAGGGTATAGATGGAGGGGAGAAGGCTTCCTAGAAGGAGGCTGCTTCTACGAAGAGCTTCCCCCCCTCCCCCTGCCCCCCTTTCTGCGCGTGGCCGACAACATGCTTGGCAAGCAGAGGGCCCCAAATCAGCAACATGGGAGGAGTCCCAAGTCAGGAGGGCCGGCAACAGTTGGGATTGGGGGGCGCTTCTGCAAACGCATCAGTGACCCCCAACGCAAGGACGGGGGCCCGAGCGAGGCCACGCTGTCAGGGTTGAGGGACTCTCTTCTCCTCCAGGGGGCAAGCGGCGAGAAGCCTCCAGGGGGGGCCGCCTCCCTCGTGAGGCCCCTCCGCCTCGTGGCGGGAGGAGGAGGAGGAAGCGGAGGAGGAGGAGGAGGGGGAGGAGGAGGAGGAGGAGGGGAGGGAGGAGGAGGAGGAGGAGGGGGAGGAGGAGGAGGACAGGAGGAGGAGGAGCAGAGAGGAGGAGCAGGAGGAGGAGGAGGAGGGGGAGCAGGGAGGAGCAGGAGGAGCAGGAGGAGAGGAGGGAGGAGGAGGAGGAGGAGGGAGAGCAGCAGGAGGAGCAGGAGGAGGAGGCGGGAGGCGGGAGCGCCTCCCCGCGCGCGTGCGCGCGCGCGCGGCGCGCGAGGTCCCTCTCGGGGCGCGGCCCCTCGAGCGCAGCGCCCGCGCCCGGGGCCCCGAGGCCTCGGCGCCCGCCCGCGGCGGCGGCGCCGCGGCGCCGCGCGCGGGCGGGGACGCCTCGCGGGGCGGCCAGCCCGCGCTCCTCCGGCCGGCGGCGGGGGGGGGGAAGACGCGGCCTAAGGAGGCCGATTTGGGAGGGAACAAAACACAATGCTCAAAAAATGCTCCAGGATGGTGGAAACGAGTGGAGCAAATCATCCCCGTATGAT